AAATTTCTTTCTCTTCTGTGTTTGCCCATGTGGAGTGAAAATATACGATAAATTTCTTTCTCTTCTGTGTTTGCCCATGTGGATTGAAAATGTACGATAAATTTCTTTCTCTTCTGTGTTTGCCCATGTGGATTGAAAATGTACGATAAATTTCTTTCTCTTCTGTGTTTGCCCATGTGGAGTGAAAATATACGATAAATTTCTTTCTCTTCTGTGTTTGCCCATGTGGATTGAAAATATACGATAAATTTCTTTCTCTTCTGTGTTTGCCCATGTGGATTGAAAATATACGATAAATTTCTTTCTCTTCTGTGTTTGCCCATGTGGATTGAAAATATACGATAAATTTCTAAACTTGTTGATTATATTACTCTCACTTGATTTTTTTAAAAATTTTTTACAAGAATATAATCTTTCTAATTATGAGCGTACCGAACCCGAATACTCTAGTGGTTACTTTCCATTGCTACTCGGTTGCTACACCATCGCCCGACTCCACTGTTATTAGATTTATCTTCATGCTGTTTCATTCACACCATCAAGTTACAAATGTAGGCATAGCAGAGTTTGTGCAGATCTTTCTTTATTCTGGATATTTATTTATGCATTGGAGGAATTGTTTGTTGAAGCAATAAAATTTATCGAAACAAATACATCGTAAAAAACTTGTTGGTAATGTAAACATATATCTAAGCTAATTACGTGGTTCATTTAAACTTTTGTGAAAAATCCAAATATGGAGATCCACCTACAACTCATAACGACACTTGCGTTTCCTGTTTGAATAATTTTAAAGTGCAAGACATTCAGGCATGTTTGAAGAATGTTAAAGTGCATAGCATTCAGCCATTAATGAAGCAATTGGAAGCAGCGGAATGTCACGACTGGATTATGTGGGCCAACATGTAAGTTGTGAAGTATTTGGATGTCTAGTTTACAAGATTTAGTTAAAATTAGAGGAATTGTTAAACGCAATTTTGTGGATGGAGAAATTCCTCTTTCTTTGTCTTACATTTCGTGTTGTCGTACTTTCCTTAACCTCTTTCTAATTCATAGTATCTGTCATTGTCTTGTCTGTAAGAATCCAGTGCAATTATCCTTAACACCCTTGAGAAATGGGCCTTCCTTCAGCTTTGTATGTTACAACTCCTGGATGTATAATGATATTCAATGGTGCATCGTATAGAGGTACCATACAGTCTAAGTTGTACGTTGTGTAAAAAACAAGGATCGTGAAACTTCTATACTTTACTTATCCTGACACTTCATAAATCATTGATAAAATCTGTATAAGACACTTTTAGCTGTAACGAAAAGAAAATTGAGAGATTCCCATTTGATCACTCTAATATACTTGAAAAACAAAAACTGTAAGACCTATTGCTAAAATAAAACAGATATTTTATAATGGGCTCTTCGTGATGTTTCTGTAATAAAAGTTCTTGCGAGGAATAAGACAATATTAACTTGTAGGAATATTAAATGGAATACAGTTTCTCAAGTTGTATGAATGGCTGAATATTTATTTCGAATCCTGGTGTTAAAATGGCATTTACAATTAATGTAAATATTAGTTTTTAGTGATATTAGCTGATGGTACTCGTTAAGGAAATAAATCTTGTATAAGGGACAGTGTTAGATAATGTTCTTCATTTTTCTTTCTATGGTTATTAAACCTCTAATGACCACATTAGATGATAATTGCATACCCTGCTTTGTGGACGACAATAATTGATTCATTTAACTGATTAAGTATTTGTGTCTTTAAATTCAAAGCTAAAAGTCTAAGAAAATAGGAAATGCGCCATATTTCAGGATTTTTAAAATCCCTTTTGCAGAGCAAAATCCCTAAAACAAAAATAGCTCGTGTACAAAGTAAAATAGTTTCCAGTTATCATATAAAAATTTCTGTGATCGAGCCAGCTAATTGTGGGTGACGGATGCTAACACACAGACACACACATAATGGATGATCTTTATTATAAGTTGGTATAAAAAATTAGTTTTGTGTATATTTTTGTTGCACACATTCTTTGTTTGTGCTCTAAGTATAACTTAACTTACTCTAGCGAGTCTGTTTATAACTGTAAGCCTAGAATGAATTCCAGGATTAATCATTAAATAAACTATAAGAATACAGCTTCTTTTGGCACACATAGCTAATGAGAAACAGTTTGGTAAATCAAATTACAATGTTCAAAATAAATACAACATAAAAATTGGTTTTATTTCTAAGTACTTAATTCAAATTTGCTATTGTTTTAATGAAGTAATTTTTGCACATTGTATCACATGATCTATCCATCGATACGAAGGTGTTGTTTCAAACAATATATAATATTCGAAACGGAGTAAAACTTGTTTATGAACTCATTATGGATGTGCAAACCTGCATTATCTCGCCCTTAAGCATTTTTATACAGCAACATTAAGTCTTGATTAATAGAATTCCTCAGTCGATAATATTACATATGTGATTAAATTAAATCCGTTTATGTGGAGAAAAGTTCATCCTTCTTGTATCGATAACTCTATTGATGCTATCAAATGTTCAGAAAGTTTTATTTTCTACATAAACTGGTGATTACTTAAAACTGGTGGAATAACATATTTGGCGTGAGCGCTATGTTGTGAATAAAAACATAAGATTGTGAAAATAATCACTTAATTCTGATCCATACCCTGAACTTTGCGGTGAAAGCTCCAAGGAAAATATACATATTTAAAATGAATAACATGGAGATGGGGTTTGAACCTATCATTTCATAAGCATGTAAACGTAGTTTAACATTTTGATGATAAAGACCATAATTAGGTTGATTATATTAAAAATTATCTCATAATATTCTTACTCAGATACTAACTCTTCATTAACATGACATATGTGGAAGAAACGTTACGTCATACATTACTAAACATTGTTATAATAATGCAGTATCCTGTCATTGTTAAATAGTTTTCTTCGTCAGTAGACTGAAAAACGGTTCACTTTTGAAGAGATCTCTATGAGATGGTTTATGAGCAACTCACTAAAATATCAGAGTTTGTGAAAAGTTTCATAAAGTGGAAGCTGTTTTGTTCGTTCATTTGAAGTTAAGCACAAAGCTACACAATGGGCTATCTGTGCTCTGCCCACCACGGGTATCGAAACCCGGTTTCAAGAGTCGTAAGTCCGCAGACATACCGCTGTGCCACTGGAGGGCAGTAGAAGCCGACTGAGAAGTTTGATTTGACTAAATGTATTTGTATTCCATATTAATAATAATGATCTTCTTTGTTACAAAATATCCAAACATTTTGGTCAAGACTGTAATAAAGTGGTCAGGAATTGTACACCACGATAATTCTGGTTTAAGTGAATGTTGTAGGACATCGTTTTAGAGGTGTATAAGATTTATTTCATTTAGAAACATTATATTTATTGTATAAAAGAACGTCACATATTTTGAGATAGATTGTAATTTCTCCACTTAGTACTTCAAAATATTACAATGTAACGAAAATATGTAATTATAATAATCAATATAGGTGTACTACACCAATAACTTAAAGTAATGATTAGAATTTGGAAACTTACTTTTTAATGTAATTCCAAATTAGAGAATGAACGAATATTTTGATTTATCAAGTTTTGCACGTGTTGTCTATCCTGGAAAGACGGTTCTTCAGTTTGAATCATTTTATGATTGGCGGATTTGTTTATTTTGAATTGTGTAACGAGCTTTATTCATCTTCATTAGTTTGGAAGTGACGTATGAAACTGTGCTAGAAGTTCAAAATGTCGTCTCCAAACGACTGCAAGTGGAGAAAGCTCGTTTTATTCACCAAAATGAATCATTAACTGTTACCCAAACTTTATTTTACACAACTACTCATTTTTTGGTCATTTTAATGTTGGTTCTTTTACCTTATAATTTTGTGACAGTTGTCGCTGCTGACGGCAGGCGGTGCTTTTTATGGAAGTTTAAGGCATGTGGTGACCCATTTTTTTTTTATCCAAGCTTCTACTAGAACACGCTAGAGAGCCTAGAGAAGTACGTGGAAGATCAAATACGTTACAAATTGAGCGACTACTGTCTTTCGTATTATTAATATGGCCGTTAGGACTCTCCACTTTAGTGCTCATTGACTCAATATGGACAGCACTCAGAGATTATCAGTGCCCTGATGTTAAGAAACATATATCGTGAAGTCTCCAGTCTAGAAGACTTGCCTGAATCGTGGAGTTAAGTGCACATTTCATTTAGACTTTCATCGAGATCTGCAGAAATTGGTTTCTTATGCTCTTGAATCAAGGTTTCGTATTGCTAAAAATAATCGACAGTGTGGCGATTGAAGGGACAGATAGATCAGAAGGAAAGCAGCTTGTAAACAACACTCTTCACCACCTCTTGTAGGATCGAATAATAGGATTTCACCGACACTTTTATAGCACAAGCACAGTTCCAAATCTCAGCGCGCGTTTTAGTATCAACGAGTCGCGAACAACTAACTTTCAGATTCACATATCGCTTATGCTAACCATTAGGCCAACGCCCGCTCATATCAAGTTTGGAAACAGTATGAGCCAATTAGTTAATATTTGAGAGATAAATTATAGTTTTCTTTTGGCATCTAAACCATTTTACGTAAAGAATTTCCTATTTGTAATAAATAAATTATGTTTAAATTTTATCCTTAAAATGTTCATCCGAGTACTACAAAACTGTTATTCATTAGTAAAGATGGACAATAATGATGTATTTATATAAACTTATATAAGTTATTTTAAGGTGTTTTGCAAAAAGTCGCCAAGTAGTGTTAAATTAAGTTAATCTGAGATATTGTGAATTATCAGACTGTTGTATGTACAGTGGTCGAAGTGTCTTAATTAGGAGAAACTATTGAATTTAGTCTAACGCCGTTCTGGTGCTAATTTGATCTCAAACTGGTTCCACCTTGCATCTAGCTATCTATTTATCTGCATGTTTGTATGTATAGACGAATGTGTTTATTTTCAGGTGTTCCCATTGTTATGACGTCTTGATGACAGTTTGGAAATAGATTGTTTGTTATGGAAGAGGTTACTTGTAAAGTAGTCCTAGTGGGAGACAGTCGGTGTGGTAAAACCGCACTAATTCACCGTTTTACTAACGATGGCTTTTTAGAGGTAAGAAATGTATTTATATTTTGTTAAGTAATCTTCTGTAATCATTCTATAATTTGATAATCGGTCCCTTGTGTAAATCTTATTTTGAAAATCGGCGTCGAGAGATCTTTAGAGGTCAATTGGATACTACAAAACTACACCATCTGAAACATATATCACTTTGTTTTTAAAAAGTAAAGGAATGTTAATTAGAGAAAAGTCATTAATAATTAGTTTTACTTTTTATAAAAGATATAGATTAGTAAAAAGAACAAAATATTTTATAAAAAATTAAATAGGTTTACGAAATTAGGATGACTTTAGATAATTTTAATGACTAAACTTTTTCATACAGACAAAAAATTAATCTTTGTGTTGTTTTCTTTTAATACGAAAAAAAATTACTCATGCTAATTCACAAAACTCTGAACATGCTTGTCATGCGCTTTCTAATTAATTAGGAGTAATTAAGGCTTTACACAGTTACTCACTGAACTGGAACTTTTTTCATATCATATTAGCGATAAGGTTGTGCGAAGCTTTTTGAATTTATGACAATCTTGAGTGGAACAGTTTCTCCATGCTTACTTTACAAAATTAAATGAACACTTTTACTTAATATTTTAATTACTGTTCCACTCAGAGTTTTGTCTTGCCAACATTGGACTGAACACACATAAGAAACTGAAATGAAGTGTTCAGTTTGTTATCCTTTAAAGCTGGTCACATTTTGTTATAAATAACAGTCGAGACGAAAACCATCTGTGTTAAAAGGATCTCAAGTAGTAATGAAATGAAAAGTTTGTCTGTCGAAAGGAGCTCAAATAACAATGAAGCGAAGAGTTGGCGGTGGGTAGCGTTAACTAGCTACCTTCAACTTACTCTATCACTGGTAAATTAGAGAAGGCTAACACAGATAGCCCTCGAGCAGCTTTGCGCGAAATTCAACAGAAACAAAACGAAACAATTCTTGTCTTAAAGCCAACGCTACGGCCACGCTGCGTTGCTTGTGGTGTAAACGCTACTGCCATGTAGCAGCGGTTTATAAATCACAGCCAAAATGAGTTGCTTGAGGTGTAAACCACAATTTTAAAAAATGCCCTAAAACACACGAACAACCAAAATGTTGTAGTTGTAATGAAAATCACAGTGCTAACTATAAAGGATGCACTAAATATAAATCCATTAAAACAAACCCATGTAATATAAGGAACAATACACAAGCCCAACAGCAAAAAATGCAGCAGACAAACAAAACATACCACGCATACAAACAAATACACAGCCAACATTACCTACAACTAACATTCCTCTCCTACTCCTAAAAACACTGAAATCTCAAAAAACATACACAACAGTAGTCTCCAACGAAACAATAAACAAACAGTCACAAGAAATAAGAAGCCAAGAACTTAAACAAACTACAAAGGACAGCCAAGAAGAAGCAAACAAACCACTCCACGAACGTCTTGAAAAATGTGATATACGAATTCGCTGCAGGAATCAGAAAGAAGACTTCATCACAATAATAATAAGCATTGCAAAGGAGCACCTTACACATATATTACCGCTAATAATATAAAAAATGACAGTCTACTTATTCACAAACAATGAATAGACTCACACATCTCCATATCAACATCCAAGGTGACCTAGCTTTCAAGCGGCATGAGATCAAAAATCAAATAAGTCGTACCAAAGCGGGTATAATAAAAATCATAGAGACGTTGCTGAACAACCACAATAGATTCAATATAAACAACTACGTTACTGAAAGACACGACAGAAAAACAAAACTTACCAAAAAGGGGCATCACCTTCTATAGAAACACATTATCCGTAAACAATGTATCCTTTACCTCCGAAAACTAAAGTATAACTCTAGAATTAACAACACTGCTCTTATTATTACTGGCCTATACTGCTCTCCGAGAAAAAGACATAGACATAAACCTAATGCAAAGAATTGTAACCCAGAACTGTAATTGTAACCCATAACTATAATTGTCACCCATAACTATAATTGTAGCCCAGAACTATAATTGTAACCAAGAACTGTAATTGTAATCCAGAACTTTAATTGTAACCCAGAACTGTAATTGTAACCCAGAACTATAACTGTAACCCAGAACTATAATTGTAACCCAGAACTATAATCATAATCCAGAACTGTAATTGTAACCAAGAACTGTAATTGTAACCCAGAACTGTAATTGTAACCAAGAACTATAATTATAACCCAGAACTGTAATTGTAACCAAGAACTGTAATTATAACCAAGAACTATAACTACATAATAATAAGAAATTTGAACTGTAAAAACGAAGTATTTGGATGTGCTATGACAACAGCAAACGGCAGAAAATTGCAAGAATGTTTAGAAGATACCGATAGTATCTTACTGAATGGCAATACCCCGACGCATACTAACTATGCATGTAACAGTAATAATATATTAGATCAATGTACTTCTAGTTCTTTAGCAAACTCATTCATTTCATTTAATGATGGATAGGATATAAACAGTGGTCACCTATCAGTTTGGTGCGACTTCAATCTCAGTCCAAATTATAATCAACAAATAAATATCCCCAAATTTAATTACATAAAAGTGAACTGGAGAAAATACCAAGAAATATTAAATAATAATCTGCCAGAAAAAAACAACAACAACTATTAATAGTAAAACTATACTGTAATTGATAACACAATTGAAACTTCATAAAAGTTGTTTTAGTTTTAATAACGGATTTTCCATAATTTAGCTACGCAGATTTCGAAAATAATATTCCTTTTTTTCTATCACGTGAGAATTTTTAAAAATCGGGAAGAAAAAAACTCTTACTTAGATCAAATTTACAACAAATTTACCACAAATGTAACAAAATATGTTTGGGTCATTTACACAACCTCTTTTTGCCAGAAATCACACGTCATGCGGCCTGTTATTCGTTTATGTACTAGCGCTGTGTTTCTCGTGGGTTTTAGAACGATCGATAAGATTCGCATCGCGATTGGTCTAGAGAAATCTATAGCCAGTGGTTGTGAACATTTTAAACATAACAATATGTGACCCAATTTCAATGAAAATGAGTCACTTATGTAAAAGTACATATGACGTTTTATGAAAAATCTGTACGCGTTGGAAAAAAATGGATTCACTGTACAGGAATTCACTGTACAGGAATTACTGTAGAACATGTAAAAATTTCAAGATAATAAAACCATCGCAGGCCTGTGTAATTAATGCCGTAAAACCATAGAGTGCCTTATAAATTCAGCAGAAATATGCATCCCCAAAACAACACAATATCAAAACCAAATATGTAAACCCCATGAACAATTTCTAAATGCAATAAAAGAGCGCAGAAAATGACGAAAAAAATATACGAATACACAAAACACTGAACTAAACACCAGACTAAATACACTCAGAAACACTATAAGAAACGAAATAAAAATACTAAAAGTTAATAATTAGAATAAATATTGCTCAAAACACGTACATCTCACATTAAAATATAACACCTTAGCCAAAACAAACACACAAAAATAAGAATTTTTCAAAATACACATGAGAATATACACAAAACACCAAACGAACCGACAATGAACACATATTTCTACAATAAAGTTAATAACTACATTAACACAAACATAACCTTATACACACCTACCTTCGCTGTCGGTCCCCGAGAAGTCCAACAAGAAAGTAGTAACACTTACGATAACACAACACAACACAACAACTCATTAAACTAATAACAGTACCAGAAATACAAGACACTCTTAAAAAGACAAAAAACAAAATCTCCAGGACATGACAAAATACAATATATACCAAGACTGTACGACCATCTAGCTGCCATATTTAATGTATCCCTACAATTAAGTTACATACCAACTGCTTGGAAGCTAGCAGATGTTTTAATGTTTCTGAAAGAAGGAAAGCCAGCAAGTAAACCAGAAAGCTACAGACCAATCAACCTGACCAGCTGTATTGTTCAAGACTTTTGGCCTGTCTCAAACTGTCATCAAAATGTCCTGAAATACAAAATAAATTCAGGAAAAGAAAGACAAACCACAGACCATTTGCTAAGATTCACGGAAACCATAGTAGATAGTTTTAACAGAAACGAATGAACTGTCACTTGCTCTCTCGATGTTGAGAAAGTATTTGACACTGAAATTTCGAATGTCACAAATAAAATTACCAAGAGGTGTTATTCGTTGGCTCTCCTACTTTGTAGATAACAGGAAAGCTAGAATTAATGTGTCAGTCAGATTCTCGGAGTACCTTACTCCGGAGGCAGGTGTCCGGTAAGCAGGGATAGTTAACCCTATTCTATTCGTAACGTATGTGAGTGAAATGCCACTGTATGGTCCAAATTCCTGCTTCTGCTCCCAGTTTGCTGATGATGTGGCTATCTGGAAGAGCTCATATACTCCAACCATAGCAGTAACAAATTTACAACCACAGTTATTAACTGCTGCAACAAATGGGGAATCAAGATAAACCCCTCTAAAACACAAATCATATTATTCACTAAATCAAAAAGAAGAGCAAACAGATCCAAAAATTATACCTCTACGTAGCTACATCAGCCAAATATTTGGGTCTAACCTACGATTCTAAACGAAATGGGAATAAACATATAAATGAAATTAAAAACAAAATCTGACAAATAGCAAATTATGTACGACATCTGACTGGCAACATCAGGAGCACTACATCGGAAAACATACTTAAAATCTATAAAACTTACATACGTCTAATGGTAGAGTATACCTGCCCAGCATGGTTAAATATAACCAAATCACACATACAAAATTACAGACAGTACAAAATTCAATAATCACTAAAGTACACAGACACAACCTTCTTCCACAATTACGAAAACATCTCCATGTTGTCAGACAGACATTAAAATAGATCAATAGATTACTTCCTCAAAAATCTTAACAAAATTGCATCATTAAGAACGCTGTAAAACTCTATTATACACGAAGAAAATAGACCC